CCTATGCCAACACAATTTTGAATTTCACTCTATATTTTTCCTTAAATACTCAAACAGTTTATTTATTCAAACAAAAACAGGATCGACAAGAAAACAGAGCAGAACATACAAAAAACTAAAAACTTCAGACACAGTTCTAGAAACAAGAAAATTAAAGAAGTCCAACAATAAAGACAGCGACAAGGTTCTCCTCCTCAGAGCAGGTGATATAGAACGTAATCCTGGACCCATTATTCCAGAAATACAAATACTCGAGGAACAAAATATGTTCCTATCATTCAATCCTCCAGAAACTGAACTTTTTGAAATAAATGACTTTAATTTTGAAGAATTTGCAATTAACCCTCTGGGAACAGAAAAAATAAAAGAAAGATTTCACAATTACATCTACTCCTGTAATTGCAGCAAATCTTTAAAAGAATGCTTTAAAATCTTCATGACCTTCTACATCAAAACAAGAAGCAATCTGAGCAACACCATGATCACAATAATAAACGAATGTTTACAAAGGAAAAGATGTGCATACTGCCTCGAATACACAAACAACAATCTAAATAAATATCTCCCTACAGGATACGTCTGTGGAGAAGAATATCTAAATAACTTTATTTGCAGGTTTAATGAGGAACAACTAAGAATCACATTGCACACTGAACACAGATCTAGGGCACTCTGGATCAAACATCTGGGACTCAGATCTATGAATAATATAGGTAAAATACCATCCTGCGGCGAACATTACACCTACAGAATATGTCTCTTGGACAGCATGAACCTTAACAAAATCAAAGAATGGATAGAAGATCCTGAAAATACAACAAAAAACAGAAAAATAAGAGGGAAAAAAAGAGCGGTACACCCAATAGACCCAAACAAAATTACTAACGAAGTACAGGAACTTGCAGCAGGAGCAATTTGTGCGGGCCTCAACTGCTTTAAGAGTCTATGGCTCTATCAAGGAGAATCCGAATATGATTTAAAAATTAATCTGCAATACTGTTCAACTAACTGTCTTATTACAAGGAAAACCTCAAAGGAAAACTGTCATAAAGAAAGAATAAGAATCATCCAATATTGTATTATGGAAAAATATCACTTAAATTATATCTCACTATTTCAGGAACCTAGCGTTGGAGGAGCTTCCCTCATGGCACAACTGCACAACTTTACAGCCAGAGAATATCTATCACCAGGAAGAGAAATCAAGCCAGGAAAAGTCTTAAAAGGAACAAGCAAGATAACCACATGGAATATGCAAGGTGCAAGTAATATTGGACACGCGATCAACTTTCTCAACACAAATAAACCAGCTATACTCTGCCTTCAAGAAACTAGACTCAATGAAGAAAACTATTACCAGTTCCAGAACAAAAATTACAAATCTTTCCAAGAAAGGAAGAGTGGAGACCTTGTAACATTTGTAAGAAAAGATATCAAGGCCAATCTTGTAAATGATTATTCAATAAAAGATATATCTTGTCTTATTGTAAATATTCAAGCAGAGGGAGAAAAAATAAACATTATCAACACATACACAAGAGATGGAAAATTAAGCCACAAACATTTAGAGTATTTATTCACAAAGTATAAAAATCCCATCTTAATAGGTGATCTAAATGCTAAACATAGCAAACTACTCGAACACACACAAAAAACTAGCTATAACAGAAATGGAGTACAACTAAAAACCTACATAGCAGGAAAAGACAACATACACAATTCACAGGCATGCGTCAAGATACATAATCTTAATGATGCGTCAGAATGGACACACACCACCCCAGACGGAAAATGGGCACAAATTGATTATATAATATCACACCTTGACATTTCACACAAACTCATAGACACTTCATATGAATACACACTAATCTCAGACCACCAAGGGCTATCAGTCAGAGCACCAGAATTCTTCCCAGAGATGCACACACTATCAAGAACCAAAAACATTCCAAACTGGAAAACATACGACCCATGGAAATACAAATTCATCACCGAATGGGAACTAGAAGCAGCCATAATAAATGGATATTGGTACGAACAACCACTCCACATGAAAATTGAGACACTTACACGTATACAACGAATGGCATTTGAAGCCTCCATTCAGTATAAAACAGTATCCAATAGAGGCAACACCAAACCCAGATACATCATTGACATGATCAAACACAAAAGAAGACTTGAAAACGGAATAAGGAAACTTGCATCTGACACAAGGAAAAGGAAAGAAATTGCATACACCAGACTATTTTCATTAATTGAAACCCCTACCACCCTTCATTACTCAGAAGACTCATACGAATATTGGAACAGAAATGCACACAGATTTAAAACCGAAATCCATAGTCTAGCCAGACGTAATAATAATGAAAACCTGAAAATCAAGAAAGAAAACTGGAATAGCGCGCTTCAAAAACTAGGAGAACTTGATATAAAGAAAGCACCCAAGGAATTCCACAACACTATGAAAAGACTAGGAGGAATGGGTAGAAGCTCAGGAGGCATCAGGAAACTGGAATACAAAGGACTCAGTGCAAATACAGAAGAGGGAATAGCCAATCTTATGGCTGACTTCGCGCAGGACACTTTTAAACCCCTAGAAGACCCAGGATTTGACTACAAATACTTCCAACAAATAGAAGACGAATGGGAAAATGCTCAAGTTGCACTGGATGCAGGTAACGGCATTCTCGACAACAATCAAATTAATAAAGAAGAAGACCTCTTCACCTGGAACCCTGAATCCAACACACTTCGAAATAAAAAATTCCAGGGCAATAATGAAACCCATATACCTCCAAACCCTACAAACCATCAAACAAAAGAATGGGGCCTGTCAAACAAAAAACACTACAAAACAATCAAAGAACCTCTTCCTGCTGCTCCACAAACCAACATACCAGTAGATATACACTGGAAAGAATCCTACACCCACAAATGCAAAACAGGTAAGGAAGAACTTAGCAAATCCTATAAAGTATTTCAGATACAAGAACTACTCAAAGTCATCAATAAAACCAAAAGGAAGGCACCTGGACATGACAACATCTTCATAGACCAATTCAAAGACTTAGGAAGAGGGGGGCTACATCTCTTTCTTGAAATCATCAATGAAATATACACAAAGGGAAACTTCCCGAACTCCTGGAAGGAAGCAATAACCGTACCAATCCTTAAAAAAGAAAAACCAGCAAAAAACCCTGCATCTTATAGACCTATATCACTCCTACCCATTGGAGGTAAATTAACCGAAGCACTAGTCCTACAAAGAATAGACCCATACATAGAGAAGAGAGGGCTCATTCCCTGCATACAAACAGGATTCCGTAAGGGATATAGCACCTCCATCAACCTCAAAAGAATGTACACACATGCATACACAAAAGCAGTAGCATCCACCCACAGACAACCAGCCTGTATGACAAGCTTCGATGCAAAGAAAGCCTTCGACAGTGTATATCACATAGGATTCTTTCACAAATGTATGAGAGACGGTCTACCAGGTATTTTTATACGATTCCTCAGATCATGGCTAAAAAATAGGACAATGAGAATTAGAATCGGAGAAACACTAAGCAGAAATATAAGACTTCTCTCCGGTGTGCCACAAGGATCAGTCCTAGCACCAGAAGTATGGAACCTGAATACAGGAGACATCCCCACTACTATCAGCTCACATAGTGATAATGCCGTTTATGCTGACAACACATCAACTGCCTCATCTCACCGGAACATAGACACGCTCATGGAACTGGCCCAAAAGGAAATTTGGCAACTGGAAGAATGGACTAAAAAGAAGAGGATTAAATTTGAACCCAGCAAAACAAACGTACTGACTATACACCCTAATCCCAAAATAAGAAGACAAATGAAAGAAACAACTCTATATCTAGACAGAAGCAAACTGGAACCCCTTCATTTCACTGAACACGCCAAACTCCTAGGAGTTAAATTTTCAGAAACTGGAACATTTCATCAACATATTACAGAGAAACTCAGAACTTGTTATGGTAGGATTAAACAATTATACAGATTCAACAATGACGTCAACGGAGATAACCTCTATAAAGTATACATGACCTCAATAGAGCCTATCATTATGTACGCAACAGAGGTCCTTTATGAAAACTTCTCGTGCAGCACCATCAAAAAACTCAATGCTCTGGAATTTACCGCAATCAAAACAGCATACAGACTTGACAGACAAACACCCACCGTCGATTGCCTGAAATACCTAAAAAACGAAGGCATTGCTGGCAGACTTATGAAGAGAAGAGACAATTTTGTAGAGAATAACAAAAACTCAACAATTATCAGACATGTAGAAACACTTAAACATTCTCAAGGAAGAAGAATTCGCACAAGAAACTCATTAAGAGACAGATCAACCAAGAAAGAAGGATGGAAAGCGTCGCTGAAATTACACAAGAAACATCTCTTTTTCTCCGACCTCGGGGACAACCTGGAAGCAGAAGAAGACCAAAAAACCATCATCATCGCACAAGAGAAACTGGCCTGCCAGGAGGGCCACATGGCAAATCCCCCAACAAGATTCCCCAATCAGAGGATCAACCACGTTAGGTTCAGAATCAGACCGGAACGTGAAAGAAGGACCCTGTTCGACCCCGGAGGACAAGACCCTTCCCAAGGACTGACACCAGATGACGAACACTACATCCCTTTCCCCAGCTAATCCACCAACATTGGCCCAATGGTGTTGGTGGGACGGCTGGGGTTTTTCGGGATGGTACGCAGTTCTACGCAATAGACCAACGCAAACCCCAACAACAATCTGTGATATAGTGGTTTTTTTTTGTTTTTTTTTTGTACCTTGTTTCCTTTTGTGATTTTTTCTTTTCTGTAATTATGTCAACATTTAAGACGCCTGCCTATAGTGCGTATAGAAATAAACGTTTATCAATCAATCAATTCTTTTGAGACTTTGTAGAAGTTCTTTCAAAAAGATTTCACCCTTCTCATATGCTGAATCTATTTTTCAGATAGAATGGCAGAGATTATTAAAGAAGAATTAAATATAGAAGAGTTTGAGATAAAGGAAGAGATAGTTTCCTTTAAGGAAGAAATCCTTCTCTCCTCTACTGTAGAAGATACATGTGAAGATAATATAAAGATAGAAAACACAGAAATACAAGGTGAGCTTAATTTTACAATATTTGTCTTTGAAAATTAATTAAAAATGTCCAAGAAACTGTTAAAAGTAATGATATGATAATGTAAGAAAATATTTACAAATTGATAATAAAACAATGCAAAATAAAATCTCATAAAAGCTTCAAAGAATATCTTAATTCATACATAGATTAGAGTGGACGGAGTTAACACCTTGAGTAAACCTGTAAGTTTTATGTTTAGATGAATTGAATACTGAGATACAGGAAACAGTAGAGCATAAACCTGTATTTGATCCTGATTTTCACACTGAGCTAATCATAAAACATGAATTCGAGGATTTAAATTCAGGTAATTTTTAATCAAAAAAAATACTCTTAAATTATAAATAATAGATGATTTTAAAAATATAATTTATTTTATTCAATTCCAATGGAAGTGGCGCAGTGAGATAGGGTCTACCCTAACCTTTCTAACTATTTTATTTATTTATTTAATCACAAGTTCCTTGAAATCTATCTTTTTTAGTAAAATTATTGTTTAAATAAATGAGAACTTTTTAGATTTTAAAATTACAAAAATATAAATTATTGGTTATTTTACAGTTTTTAATATTGGTTTTGCAGAAAGAAATGTTTTTAATATTATTAAATAATATTTTCGCTGTTCAGGTGAAAACATGGATGAAAGATTTGATGACTTTAAATCAAAACCAAACCAAAACAAGAAGCGTAAAGTGGATTACACTTGTAATGAGTGTGAGTATGTTGCAACTCAAGCAGGCAAACTAAAATACCACATCGAAAGTAAACATGAAGGAGTGAGATATCCATGTTCTCAATGTATATATGCTGCAATAACGCCAAATGCTCTGAAGAAACATGTTGAAAATAAACATGAAGGAGTGGGTTATCCTTGTTCTCACTGTGAGTATGTTGCAACACAACAAAGTAACCTGAAATCTCATGTTGAAAATAAACATGAAGGAGTGAGATATTCTTGTTCGCAATGTGAATATGCCGCAACTACAGCCAGATACTTGAAGGCTCATGTTGAAAGTAAACACGAAGTAGTGAGATATCCATGTGCTCAATGTAAATATGTCGCTACTACAGCAAGTGATCTGAAGAGACATATTGAAAGTAAACATGAAGGAGTGAGATATCCTTGCCCTCAATGTAAGTATGCCGCTACTACAGCAAGTTCTCTGAAGATTCATGTTAAAAGTAAACACGAAGGGGTGAGATATCCTTGTTCTCAATGTGAATATGCTGCAACTACAGCAGGTGCTCTGAAGAAACATGTTAATAGAAAACACGAAGGAGTCAGATATCCTTGTCCTCAATGTGAACATGTCGCTACTACAGCAAGTGGTCTGAAGATTCATGTTGAAAGTAAACATGAAGGAGTGAGATATCCTTGTTCTCAATGTGAACATGCCCCAACTACAGCAAATGCTTTGAAGAAACATGTTGAAAGTAAACACGAAGGAGTTAGATATCCTTGTCCTCAATGTGAACATGCCGCTACTACAGCAAGTCATCTGAAGATTCATGTTGAAAGTAAGCATGAAGGGGTGAGATATCCATGTCCTAAATGTAAATATGCTGCAACTCAAAAAGTAGCTCTGAAAAAACATTTAGAAAAAAAACATAATTGAGTTCAGATATCTCTGTTCTGATAATGCTGCAAAAGAATTGCACAAAAATTTCCCATGACTGTGGGCTATCAAACATTTATTTTTTTGGTTTTAAATTTGTGGAAACTTGTGACATAATTAAAATTTTCTAATCTTAATCTCACAATTAAAATTTTTGTTTCATTTTGAAAACTTACCTGAAATAAATTTGATGGTTGTTTGTGTATTATCTGTAATTTGTTGGTATAAACAAAATCGCTTAATTCTCATAACTAAATTTAATGCACCAAATAAGTATCTATTTTAATAGCAGGAAATTGAAATAGGAATTGGTTCAATTGATAAACTCATTTTTCCCAAGGATGAAAAAAAGCTGTAAAAGCTTAAGAAAAAAGCGTAAAAAATCTATAAATAAAGACTGATATAAATTATAAAAAGAAAAATACTAAAAATGCAGCCTTATAGATTGTTACAAATAAAGTTGTTTGTTATCAATTAATAATCTGTATTCTCCGTAATACCCTTATATTCTTATAATCTTAGTGTCCTTGTAGACATCACAATATAAACATATTAACATATAAACATACAAACATATAAACCTATAAACATATAAACATATAAACCTATAAACCTATAAACATGTAATCATATATAAACATATAAACATGCAAACATATAAACCTATAAACCTATAAACCTATAAACCTATAAACATACAAACATACAAACATATAAACCTATAAACCTATAAACCTATAAACAAATAAACATATAGACATATAAACCTATAAACATATAAACATAAATCAAATGATCTCAACTGAACAGACATGTTATCATTTTAATAGAAGGAAATTATGTCACATATGTTTATTTATTTTTCAGATAGAATGGCAGAGATTATGAAAAAAGAATAAGATTCAAGGAATCTGAGATAACTTCAACTGTAGAGGATAAATGTTTTGTTCATATACCTGAAGAAGATATAAAGCTGGAAAATTCAGAAATAAAAGGTAATTTTGATATGTTTACTATTCTTAAATCATAGAATAAACATTGTGGTTTTAGGTGGGGGAGGGGATTGTGAGGTGTGTATGTTTCGTGTTTACATAGAGATGATAAAATATTTGAAACTTTTACTAAGTCTTGACAATTTATCTTCCCAAATTCAGCAATGAAAATTCAAGAGGAGTTTACCCAACTTCTGGGGGGAAATGGGTTTTTCAAAAAGGGAGGGATTGATTTTTAAGAAAATATACATCCCTCTATTTTTCTTGCTTAGATTTTTCCTTGTTCTGCTAACATTCTTTACTATAATGGGAAAAACAGAAATGTGCTATTTGCACAAATTTATCTTTGCACATAATGCTATATAAACTACACATTAAGCTAATTTTGCTTGTGGATTTATTTTCCTATAAACATACATACTTTTCTCATTGTAAATTTGGTCAA